TACCAGACTGACAACAGATAAACAGCAAACGGTCACAACAACAGCAGCTCCTCAGCAGGGAGAGAGGAGAACGGGAGAAGGGCAAAACAACCGACTGGCTGAAATAATGATTTACAGCATGCTCTTTTCTCACTATCCACACAGTGCACATCCAGTATCGCCATGATGAGTCATGCATGTCTGTTTTCGTGCTGCTTGTAGTCTGAAGATATGTGTCAGTGTTTAATTCTTCAGTGATGACTTGTCTTTGGTCCCATCGGTGGTACAGACTTCTCATAAAAGCTACTTACAATTACCAGTGTTTGAACCAAATATCTGTCACTTGCCAGTCCTAAAACCTTTTCCACACCAACTCCAAAATCAAAATCTCTGATATAAATTACATTATGGAAACACTGAGCAAAATATAATAAGACTGAGGTCATCGAGGTTTTTAGAGTTCATCATTTCATGTGGTTTGCCATCCACATGTGAGACCTGCTGTGACTCATTTCACACACATTTCTCCCCAGATTCAGTTTAGGACTGAGCCAACAACACCAGTAAACACGGTGCTGCTGGTCAGTCTGGTGGATGTTAAGAACTTAATCACTTCCACTTTAGCTTTCCGTGTTTGGCAAAATTTGGCAGGATGTCTGCAGATTAAGCATATAAAGAATTTGGGATTAGGAAAGCAGTTGACCTCTGACATCATTATCATTCACAGGAGGTCCTCTGGTAACTCTAGTCCTGTGTAAAAACAACTTAAAATGTCTTCAGAGTGACACAACTTCCTCAAACCTTCTCATAAATAGTCTTCACATGAATCCTGCAGTTGTCTTTTGATATTAATAAACAGCCTTACAGCATCACAATGGACACAGTTTGGCTTTGAGCAGCATCTGAACTTGTTTCAGAACCAGGCAACCTATTTTATTATTGCCACTCTTGTTCATATGGAAGCAGTTAAAGACATCGCTGCACGCTGATGCAGTTCGGCTGCAGCAGCTCAGAGAGACAGCTGTGAGAACAGGGGGGGCACTCAGAGATCAAATGCTTCAGACTGCAACAAATAGACTATAACATTAACCCAACAGGACAGTGATATGAAACAAACCAAGAACCTGAACATCTTGGAGCATCTGCCTCCACTGTTGCTGTGCCAAATGAAAGCGTGGAGCTTCTTGGACTGTTTCTGAGGCCTTGCACTCCACACTCTACTGTAAAGTCACTGTAATCTGACTCATATGAGACAGCAAAAGCATCATGATGCATGGCTGCTGCTCCCAGATGACCCCTGCAGAGGCAGGAGACGGGAGAAACACTGAAGGAACGATGAAGACAACCAAACAAAAAGAGGTGCAGAAGCAAACTCCTCAGATACTGCGGGTAGAAACAACATGCTCACCGTGCTCAGTTTTGGGTTGCTCACTGTTCAGGTGTTCTTGACAGATATTGATTTTAATGTTGCTGACAGTGACGAGTGTTTCACTAATGCATAGTTCATCTGAAAGTGAACCTTCTCAATATGCTTTGGAAATAGCAAAACAGTCACTTGCACTTAAACAGCATCCAAACCACAACTATTATCTTCTCGGCATCTTCCATACAGATGTTTTACTGGCAGAAACTCTCCTGTGTGGCCACTAAATGGCCAGAAGGACGTGAACACCTGAACTCTACCTCCATATCAGATTACTGGATATGTCATTCCAAAACAATGGTTATTAACGAGCTGCTCTAACAGCCCCCACTCCTCTGGATTCAGTTCTTCCACCAGATGTTGAACCTGGCTGCAGGGATGTGCTCCCATTCAGACAAAAGAGCATTACTATGGTCCAACACTGATGTTATGTGATAAGTTTTGGCTCAGGGTTGGTGCTGGATGAGGCTGAGGTCAGGACTTTGTGCAGGTCAGTTCTTCCACACCAGACTGGGAAAACCATTTCTTCATGAACCTGGTGCCCAGTTTGCAAAATGTGTAAGATGCAAGCTACACTTTGTAACCCATGGTAATTTACTTACACTCATGTCTGACTGATCCAAGCAAATGGGACCCTCACTGACCCAGAATGAAAGTCCTGTAGGATGAAAGAGCTCATCACTTGTATGTGCACCTCCTGCCTGTTGGATTTCATGTGCGGTGTGTGAGACATCTGACTCTGAAATGGTGTCTGGACAGCTGTCACACTGGAGCAGCAAAGATGTTTGTCTTCATTTGAACTAAAACACCCAAACGCCTTCACACATTTGGCAACAGCAAATTGAGATAAAATTTGTATCAACATAATAAGAAAACATCGTTAATGAAAGTGCGACGTCTGTGAAGCGCCGACTGACGACATAATTCATGTGTTTTCCTACAGTATCTGCACTTGCAATACAATATCCACTGGCACCAACTAAAGCATGATTTGTTTTTATACTAATGACTAGACACTTGGTTAATGTTATGAAAAGCTCCCACCCGGTCCAGCTGGACAAGTTTGAGCCTTCTGCTCCTCAGATTGCAAAGCGTATTTTCACTCTCATTCAGATGTGGTCATTTTTTTGTGCACTCTCATTAGTTGAAACCTTTAGAGCTGAAGTTGAGACTTGCTATATTGGTTTGTTTACTGTTGTTGGGTTGTCAGGAGCAATGTGTTCTGGGAAGTGGTTGTATTGCATCCTGTTGCTTTTGTCTTGTGCATAAACTCTTTTGTGTACCTTCTGAAAATAAGTAGATAAATGCCACCAAATAGAGAGTGTTTAGAAGATATAAAGAACCTTTTTTAGAGGCATTCAATTTATCGTCCCGGAGAAAAACACTGATAATTGCGCAGACACAGAGCCAGTCTGTGACCCGGTCAGTCCTCATCGTCCTTAAACGCCCCACAGAGAGGCCACAGAGCCTCGACTTGTTTCAAGCATATCATGAATTTACTGGAGCCTCAGTTGTGATGATGTCATCCTAATTAATATGGAAATGGATGGAAGCATTTTAACATGCAGACACTGATACAGGATGAACTCTGAAAACTCCATCACCAGGCAACCAACACAGGAACCAGCTGTGCTCGTTGCCTTTACAATGCAGGATCCGATCATTAGGGATTGGAAGACGCATCAGCACAGCACTCGCAGGTGGAGGTCACAGCAAAGAAAAGGACTGATAATCACATAGTGACAGACAATGAGCGCAATCACGACGGCCAGCTGTAATGATAAGAAATGTTTTGCTCTATTAATTAATCATCTTTTCTGAGAAATGTTAAATATTACCGTCATCTTTACTAGACAGGTGCAGGAATCAGCACAGAGGTCACACGGTTCAGCTACAGAGTGCATCAGGTGAAAATGTACAAGACTTAGGAGCTTCAATGTCGCCTCTCCGCTTGACTGCCTGTATTATATCAGTAGAATTATTAACCTTATATCTGCTACCATCAAAAATGTAAATAAGTGTTGCTGTTGGGTCACTTAAAATTTTCTTTTGCTCTTTTCTGTTTCCATTTTCAAAACTCTGCTCACAGAGCACATGCTGGTACCTGTTGGTCAAATCATTTCCAGCTGTATTTTCAGAAGCCTCATGTTTGCTTCTGGGCACGGTTGAAGAAAAACAAAAACCTGTGATTACAGCAAATAAAATGTAAACAGTAAAACTGCAGCATCAGAACTTTCAGGACCATCGCTGATTTCCCCTGGGATTGTTTCTGTTTTGCTTCAGTAGACTTTGAAACTCCAGAAGAAAGAAATACAACAGGACCAGTGTGTCCGCCCGCACACGTGAAGCCCTGCAGACAGCACACGGTTTCCGTTCAGTCTGATGAGGATCTCTTTATGCATCCGGATGATGATTATATTCAGATTTTATTAGTATTTTAATTACTCCACAGAGACCTACAGATGTTTGTTCCTTCCGATGGCTGGTCTGAAGTCAACATTTTCTGTTTATTTGGTTTGACTGAGGAACAGACATGTCGACAGGGTGTCTGCAACCCATCGACACATCTGTCTATGTCTGACAAACCATAAAAATATGTGTGACACTGGCCACAGTCACCAAAAGGTTGTACAGATTCACTAGGCCCTTGCAGAACCTACCTGTATATTACTGCACATGTCTATGCAAAGTTGTACTGACTCCTGTTTGTTTTTGTCTTGACCCAACAGAAGGAGAGTGACCAGCAGATAACCATGAAGGTGGACGGCAGACTCAGCACCTTCACCCAGACAGGCCTGGCAGCTGGTCAGGAGTACTCCGTCACCATTGCCGGAGAGCTTGACGGCAGGAGGGGAGCAAACAGCTCTGCTGAATTCACGACTCGTGAGCTGCTGACATTCATTCATCCTTCTTTAAATACAGCAGTGATGTGATTTCTCTTTTTGGTCAATCTGGGCAAAGATCTGAGCAGTAGAAAATGAATGAACACCTGAATGAACACTGGAGATTTCCCCGATCACAAAGATTAGGCCGATAGTCCAGTTTTCTGATATAAGTTTATTTTATTGCCTTGGTTTATAACCTGTCATGAATCAGTCCGGTGGCGCCCTGAATAATGGTTTGAGAGACGGTTTCACATTTCTATGAGGAAAAACTGAAAACGGTAGAAAGTAAAATGAAAACATACTGAAAAGCAAAACAATGATCTACAAACATTTTGGTACCAGTGCATGCACTTAAAAAGCCGACTGTGGCAGATTGCGAACTGACAGTAATGACACAAATATAAAAGGTGCACTCTGCCACTTTGAAAAGGAGGCTGTGACCAACCACCAGCAGAGGTGCAGCTAAAGTGGCAGAGAGAAGAAATACTTCCCTTTTGCTGCCCTTCCTGACAGAGGTGTAATCTGTGACAGCTGTA